AATGACCGTTGGGGTTGGGCATACCCCCATGGGCTAGAGCAATTTCTGGCGGGAAGGTCCCTTTGCACCGCCACGCCCAGTGTTAAGGAGAGGAGGAGGGGAACTAAGATCTCTTTCTTTTTTCAGTAAATACACGTACCGTGGGATCACAAGTCATTGCAGGGCAGATCTGGTCGCTCTACTGCCACACAAACTATTTTCTATCCTAGCTCGTTGATAACGGGACCAGAGCCCAGTATGTCCAACGAAAGTAGCAAGCGCATAAATTACCCAAGCCTGACATAGGGAGGCAGTGACAATAAATAACAACACGGGGCTTAAACCGAGCTTGAGAACTTGCAGACCTGTACGTGCATTTTGATATGATTTTATCATGAACAAATTTAACCGGCCCCAGGCAGGTCCATATCCATGATGGGCGAGCGCATTAACCAGTGCACCTTGCGGGTGTACGGATGCTGTACATACTAAAAGAAAAGTAGTTGCCACCGCGGTTTCGCTTGTGGCAAAGAGGAGGGAAGTGACAGAGGGAGGAGGGCATTTAAGGGTTGGGGAAGTTGTTCAAGCAAAGAGAAAGCAAGACAGAGCAAGAGAGGGTCAGCTCGCACACGCTAGAGAGTGGGAGAGAGCCACATCGAGAAATCCCGATTACTCTCTCTCTCTCTCTCTCTCTCTGTGTCTGTGTTTCTCTCTTGTTCCCTCTCTCTCTCTCTCTCTCTCTCTCTCTCTCTCTCTCTCTCTCTCTCTCTCTCTGTGTGTGTGTGTGTGTGTGTGTGTGTGTGTGTGTCTCTTTCACTGAACGCTCTCTCTCTCTCTCTCTCTCTCTCTCTCTCTCTCTCTCTCTCTCTCTGTGTGTGTGTGTGTGTGTGTGTGTCTCGCGGTTCCATCCGTGCTGTTCTTCAGCACCTCCATACCAGAAAGCACCATCCTGCTTGTGTTGCCTTCGCATTACATTCAATCGTCTGTTTCAACTATGAGCCAATCAATCAAGCAATCTTCCTGTCCATGCAGTTTGAT